CTGGTAAGAAGACAGTTTTTATATGTTTGAAATGTTCTAAACAGAATTTTCAATTAGTTCTCTTAAAGCAAAGTTATGGATATTTATATCCCTACTTTTCTTTCTGTTTGAAATATTCTCAAACGTTACTTAAGAATTACTGAATATGGGTTTTATGGTTACAATGTCAGGGTACTAAATTTATATCATAGATTCTCCTACATTACCAAACAAAAAGTAATTTAAAATACTCCAAAAAATCAGCTATACTGAACACAACAAGAGTCACAGTCCAACCCAATGCCATAAGTATATAAAGTCCATGGCCAAACAAAATTCACTACCATTCAGTGCTCTTCCTAATTTCACCCTCACATCCAGAAACCAAAGAATTATTATCTTAAAACGATAATTTGGGCTGATGCTCTTAAACTAATTTTTCCAGAAAGCAATACTGAATTGGGTCTATAATCCAAATCTTAATAGTATATGATCCCTAAATGGTAATAAAATACTGAACCAACTAATGTGAACACAGGAAGTTGGCATTTTATGAAATCTCATAAAAAATGAAGAGACTAGGTCTTCCAAAAAGATGGTGTTTAATTTTGCCTAAGCTCTCATCACATAGAGGTAGATAAAAATAAGGTGCATAGCACAGTACTCAGCCTTCAAACTTTAGTTAGAGGAAAAAAAGTCTGAAAGAAAACATAACCCAAGAAGAGAAGGAAATTCTTCCATAAAAGATTTGTAGAAGAGTTTAATAAGAACATGAGTTCAATAAAATATCACAATAATGAAATGTAAAAATAAAAAACATAAGAAGTGGATAAAGAGGATAATGGCAGAATTTAAAATATAAATTGAGTTAAATAATATTATTACCCAATATTAGTAGCAGCAAGCAACAGGCTTGTAATCATCATGACACAGAGAAATGAGATTAAAACAATAATTGAGAATATATTATATCCAATAAAATTAAATTTAAGTAGCTAGTAGCTACGGTGTTGGATAGTGCTGATATAGAACATTACAAACATCACAGAAATTTCTATTAGTCATGGCTGGTCTAGAAAATGGGAAAAATTTAATCATCTAACATTTAAGTTGTTTACTTTGTGACATTTTACTACTGTCAATGATACATCTAATATGTATATCAATAAGGATATATTCTAGTTCAGTGTAGAACAGAAAAATAATGTTAAATATGCGATACAAAAAATTTTACTTCAAATTAGGATTTTCAGTATAAAGGGTCATCCAGTATTACAGGGGAGAAATAATGCAAAGCAATAAACATAGATATATATAGCCCATTTAAGTTATTAAACAGCAAGGATAAAGGAGGAATTATTCAGGCTTTCTTACAGAAAGAAGCAAATCAACTTTAAGAGTGGAAGCCTTCAGACATCACAGCGTGATTACTTGTCCAAAGATAATACAATGACAATAGTAATATCTACGTAGTGCTAAGCTACTAAGCTAATAGCAATACCTACCTAGTGCTAAGCTAAGCTAATAATAAATCAACTTAGTTGTTAGCTAATAGCTAAGTTTATAACATATATATGTATATATATATATAGTGCATATATATACATATATACAGTACACACACACACACACACACACCCAAGGCATCGGTTGGATAAAAAAGTATTTGAAAATATAATCCATGTATTTACTTCATCACTGAGAGTTTCATTGACTAACCTATGTAAAGCAGCATCTCCTCCCATTATTCTATATTCCTTCCCTCTTTTTTCTTCAAATTCATATCTCTGTCCTTCTAGAATGTACCTCCATGAAAGCAAGGACTATATTTCGCTCACTGCTTCATCCCTTGTACCTTCCAGGAACTGCTAAATGACCACAGGTATCAATTTTTAAAAATTCAAGAATGACAACTGTGGTAAAAGGACCCATGATGAATCCATTTCAACAAAAACCTAAACTAAACAACTCTGTATCTGGTTGCAGACAAAAATATAAATCTATAAACCTTGACATTATAAAAATAATAGGGAAAAAGTGCTACATGCTAATTTCCTCATTTTTTTATAGGAAAGAAGGAAAGAGGAATTGATTTTATTGAAAACTGAAACACATAGAAGGGAACATAGGGACTCCAACATCTTATGTGCTTCGTAATAACACTTCTAATCCTAGATGAGAATGTGTCAGGAAATAATCTTGCTCAAAGTAAAGAATCATTGATGAGTTCAACAATTCTTTCAATTTTACTTCATTTTTGTGTTCTTTAATAAGTTAAAGTAAAATGTTAATTTTCAACTATTAATAGTATTTTATTACATGCTATAGTTTTGGAAGTATTTTGTCTAACATATCCATGTATATACATAAGTTTATGCTTGGAATGTGGTCTACTTAATGATTCTTGTGGGAAAGGTTGGCCTTTTAATTCTTTAATTTGATACCTTTGCCACAGCTATTTTTCTTTTATAATTTCTATTAATATGTCTTGAAGTTCATTCGTGGGGCGCCTGGGTGGCTCAGTCGGTTAAGCGTCCGACTTTCGCTTAGGTCATGATCTCGCGGTTCGTGGGTTCGAGCCCCGCGTCGGGCTCTGTGCTGACTGCCAGCTCAGAGCCTGGAGCCTGTTTCAGTCTGTGACTCCCTCTCTCTCTGACCCTCCCCTGCTCATGCTCTCTCTCTCTCTCCTAGAAATAAATAAAACATTAAAAAAAAAAATTTGAAGTTCATTCGTCTTTTTTCCTGATGTGTCTAATCTGCTACTCCTGTCCAGTGTGTTTTAAAAATCTCAGATGTTGAAGTTTTCATCTCTAGAGGTTCATTTGGGTCTTTTAATAATATATCTTTCATATCTGTATATGCTTAATCTTTATTGAACACATGTACTATAACCGTAATTGTTTTTTGTCTTAGTCTAATTATATTTGTATCATTGCTGCATCTCCTTATTATGGGTCCTATTTTCCTCTTCCTTTTCATGCCTGGTAATTTTTTTTATTGGCTACAGATACCGTGAATTTTAACATATGCAGTGTTGGATATTTTACATTCCTGCTAACATTCTTGAGCTCATTTCTGGGATTCAGTAAAGTTACTTGAAAACACTTTGATCACTTTGAGGCTTGCTTTTGAGCTTTGTCAGGTGCAATCAGAGGAACTTTTGTTCCAAAGCTGATTTTGCTTCTCTACTTAAAGCTTTATGAATTACAAGGTTTTTCCACTCTGGTAGGTGAGACCATGGACTTTTTCTAGTTCTGTGTGAGCTGCAGAAATCATTCAGCTTGTTCCTTGTAATGGTTCTTTCACCAAATTTAGGTAGTTTCCTTATGCCCATGTGCTGATCAGTACTCAAGAGTTGCCTCCAGAGATCTCTGGAGTTCTGTCTCTGTGCTCCTTTCTTCCCGTGTAGTTTGCCACACTGCCTCCTTGAACTCTTAGCATACTCGCTTCAACTCAGGAACACTATTAGCTTCCTCCTCTCTGCATTCTGCACTGGATAGTTCCTTTTTTTTTTTTTTAATTCAAGTATAATTAACATACAATATTATATTAGTTTTAGGTGTATAATATAATGATTCAACAATCAATACGTTGCCTACTATTGCCAACTCAAAATATGTGGCTCTGAGTATTGGTTAATGCAATTGTTTGACTGAATTCTCATAATCAAATATTTATTAAGTGCTTGACATGCAGGAGGCATCATTCCTTACATTTCACATTCTTTACTATAAGAAATTGGGTTTACAAAAACCCAATGAAATGAATACTGTTATCTCTATATTTCAAATGATGAATAAAGATATAGAGAGGTCCAATAGGTGGTCAAGGTAACCATGACACAGCTACTAGTGTGTAAAGTAAAGATTTGGACCTAAACAATCTAGTTATAAAATTCAAATTCATAACCATTATAGTGTATTCTACTGTATGCCTCACAAATATTTATTTCCATTAGAAGTTATTTTATATTTTATAAGATACTAATGCTTTGCTAGGTATGATGGATTCAGAGTTAAATGATATAACTAGTCTAATACTAGTATAAATTAACGTAGGGATGTATTTGGAGGTCTTTTAGTAGATAACTAAAATATATGATGGTTAATGTATTTTCCAGATGATTAGTTGACATGATTCTAAACAAATAAATTTAATCTTGAAAAGTAAAAGTTGCAATTTCGACTAATTTATAACATAACACAAGATTATGTTTACTAATCCAGCACCCCACATTATCTTTATGATTTTGGCTAATGAAAAAGGCAACACTTGCATGTGCTTTCCTTCTCCAAGAAACTTATGTACTTTTTTCTTTGCATTGTTTCTGTAGTACCTCTTTACACACTCACGCGCACACACACACACACACACACACACACACCAAGTTTTCAACATTTTTTATAGCTATTCCTACTTGAATCAGCTTCCAAAAAAGAAAAGATAAAATTGGACTTCAATACCTCTTCACTTAGTGAGATTTTAAATCTATTTTCATTGTTAAGAGAAGAGACAAAGGTTTGCATTTACAAAACTAACATTTGATAAGGGCAAAATAAATGTCTGTATTCTTAGTTGTTACTTCATCTATTATTTTGGTGAATGAGTTTTTTGCATTCTAGTATTACAAACCTGTAAACAGATTGTACACATGCTTTATTTTTACCTTGTGAGAAACATAACAGTAATTAAATGTAATACATAAATGCTAATTCCAGACTTTGTGTATGTATGTGTGTGTGTGTGTGTGTGTGTGTATACATATATATATGAAGCATTTGGCTTTTCATAGTATAAAAGTTTGAATATTTTCTTTAAATTCTACTTCATTGATAAAAAATTAAACAATATTATATATACAATATTTCCTCTGTTTTAGAAATAGCTATATTGTCATGATTTTGTTTTTTTTAAGGCATTGAGGCATTGGAGAGTTCTAGTATTGCTAATATTATCATTTAAGAAAACTGTCACATTTTTTAATCACAGATGCTCAATAATGTGTTATTCTGTTTTCTTAGGAACTTCCTGCACCATTACTTGATGATAATGGTAAAAAAGATTTTGATGAAGATGTATGTAATCATAAAACATCAGAATCTAACATTAAGATGAAAATAGCTTGGCGTTACCAGTTATTACCCAAGATGGAGGCAAGTCAACATACAAACTTTTCTAAAATTTGTAAATGTACTTGTTTTCAGTTTATAGACTCTTTTGTGGTATACCTGTTATTCTTTAAATATACTACAATGTATATTTGCTCATTTAAGTGACTAATATTTTATTTGTATTTTATCAAGATGATATTTCTTAGCAATAAAATTATGGCAAAAATTTTTTTTACCAAAACAGATTTCATTTCTTCCATAATCTCCATATAGAATCCTTCATTATAGGGTTGCAAGCCAAAGTAAGTAAATTCATTAAGCTATTTCTATCCAGCTTCATTACCTATAAATATTCAGTGTAGATAGACTCAGAGATAGGAAGTGAAGGGTATTTTCTGAGAAAACAGATGTCAGTAAATCTGTTCACTAAAGCTTATGAACTCTGCTCCTAGGGAAGCCTCTGTTCATTATTAGTTCTTCTTTGATTGTTTACTCTAGTCTTCAAAGCACTTTAATGTCTACCAGACATAATCATATTGGTAGAAAAGAAAGAAATTCTAATATGAAACATAGTACCCATAGCTCACTCTTCCTTAGTCTTCCACATTGACTGTTACCTTCCCCAAGAACAGAAATATGTTTGTAACACTCCTTAACTGCAAATGCAAAATTTGGTATACTATTTCCACTACCTCCTTCTAAATGCATGGCAAACTCTCAATCATAGTACCCTTCCACCAAGCTTAGACAAAGCCTTAGTATTCTCTGCAATATTTTGAGTGGTCACTACCAGTGAATATGTAAGATGATACCTGTTTGCCATTAAAAGCTGGAAATATGAAATACACACTTCTTTTGATTATATATAAGATCTGTACAACCTAATCCAAACCTACCTTTTAGTCTCCTCCTATGTGATTATAAAACACAATATTCACCTGTCCTATGAGAGTTGCTCCTTATAAATTGCTTATATTTGTGCTGGTAATAATTTTCACTTTCTTATTCACCAACTCAGCCTTCTCCAAGTGCAAATATTACTACTCTCACAGCTTTCCATACATAATTATCTAATTTCTTACTTTTGTGTCCATAGCCCTTCATGTATTTTAAAGTACTTCTAACATTATTTTATAGGTCATTATTGGTGTAACTGTCTTAGTCTCCACCAGACAGAATTCTCTGTGAGGGCAGAGAGCCTTTTTTATTTTCTCTTCTATCTCCATCATCTGTATTAAGGCCCAGATAATAAGAATTTGGTGTTTGATAATGTATTCATTCATTCAGCAAATATGAAGTATCAACTGTGTACTAAGTATAAGATATGGTATAATAGGTACATATTAAGCAATGATAAATTGTTCTAATTTAGATGCAAAAGCTGTTTGAATAGATTTTAAGCATGATTTACATGACTGTGAACAAACTACACACTGAAGCAAGGGTGTTTGCACCTGATATAATAGAATAAGGAATAAATTTTCTATATATACTAAGAACTTCTAAAATGAATAAGGAATAGTCTACAACCCAATTTTTTTAAATGGGCAGAAATATGTAAAGGAAATTTAGGTGGCTCTTATACAGAAGCAGATGCCCAATTTCAGTTACAATAAGAAAAACATGCAGTTTTTCTCTTAACAAACTGTCAATACCCTAAAATTTTTGGTAAGATGTTAACTTAGCAGGGATTTGGGTAAATTAATACTTGCATACTTTGCTGGTGGAAATGTAAATAAGTACAATTTCTGTGAAGGGTAATCCGGTAGTAGCCATTAGGATTATAGAAAACATATACCCGTTGATCCTTTGGGGCATTAACATTATGAATATATTTACTTAGATGTAAAATGAAATATATAATAGCTATTTTACAGCATATTTTTAATAGCAAAAGATTAGAAAGAACCTAAATGTCCATCAGTAAGCACCTAGTTAAATACACTATATGCCATATAAACTATATACCATATGAATAAGCATATACCATAATATATGTATTATGCATCCAGTATATGTGTATGGTATATGTGTACAGTAGAATACCATACACTTGTATTAAAAAATAAAGGGAAGCCCTCTGTAGTGAGTTGTTGCAGACATAGCCTAGTTTGGATGTGATTGAGAACTGGGCATAAGAGGCCAGAATAAACGTAGGTATTCTGCTTAGGAAAATGTGAGTAGAGTTATAGTGATTAAAATAGACAAGGAGTTTAGGACTAGCACTTGAGAAGCCTAATGGCAAAGAACTTCATTCATGTCTTTGAGCTGCCAGATTCACTTAAGTTACTGGGCTTAATACTGACTCTTTTGTGAAGAATGACTATATTCTGATTTTTCTTCTGGTATGTTCTAAAAGAATCTGTAATGAAGAAAAACTCTAAGTTAAATTCAGCTTCTTGTAAAGACAGTCTAGTTTTAGGTTATGTAAATCACTTGTGTCTCTCATTTACTTACTATATTTTACTCTTATCTCAATCGTATTTTTTTTTATCAGTCACTAACATTCTTCACTTGAAATTATTAGTAAAGATACAAATAACTGAAATTTTAAGCTTTTGTTTTTTACTGCTTATCACAAAATCTGTTTAAAATTGGGGCAAGGGGCACCTGGATGTCTTCCAGTTAAGTATCCAACTCTTGATTTTGGCTCAGGTCATGATCTCCTGGCTCATGGGTTCAGGCTGATATTCTGGACCCTGCTTGGGAGTCTCCCTCTCTTTCCCTCTGCCCTGCCTGTCCCCCCTTTCTCCTTAAAACACACACACACAAACACACACACACACACACAAACATAAGCCTCATGGTCAGTTTTCAAGGTTTACAGTTTGTTTTAAAAATTGTGCTATTCTTACACTGAACTTTCCTAGATGACTTCCTCCCCCATTTTCTTGAGTTCTCCACTAAAATATCATTTTATCAGGAATGTATTCTTTTCTCATTCTCTGTAAAACAAAATCACTCTCTCACTGTTATCTCCTTTCAAGGTCTTATTTTTCTCCAGGTACTTATCATCACCTAAAAGATAATATTATCTGTCTTCCTACTAGTATGTGAGCTTAGTAGAAGAAAGGGACTTTGAATATCTTGTTTTACTGGTATGTAGTGGGTGCTCACTAGTTATTTGCTGACTACATGAGTGAATGAATTATATAGTATGTGAATTAAATGCAAAAGTGAGTTAAGTTGCAGTAATTAATATAAACAAAAAATGACTTCTTTCAAATTTACTGTCAATGGTCAAACTTAAATTTTTTAGTATTTATAAGTGAGCTCTGTCAAGTTTACAAAATAGAATCATCTTCTGGCTTCTTTGCTTTTCTTTGAAATGTCACCAGCATGTGTATTTGCCTGTCACAGAAATTTTGTATATGAGGATTTGCTGAGATTAATAGACTTTGGTCATCAGCTATCATCTACTTTATAAATCCAGATTTTACTTTGCCATTATTAGTTTAAAAACAACAATAAAACCCTGGGTTTTCTGTATTTTACGTGGGACAAAATATAGTTAACACTCTTATAAGTATAGATTAAACAAGTAGTACAAAACCAGCTGTGTCATTTATCAGAGATGCCTTTTAGTATAAGTTGCCACCAGATCCTAAGAGTGTAGTCACATTCCCACTTAGGGAATGCAAAAAAAGAAAAAAGAAAGGAAGGAAGGAAGAAAGGAAGGAAGGAAGGAAGAGAAAAGAGAAGAGAAGAGAAGAAAAAAGAAAAGAAAAGAAAAGCAAAGAGAAGAAAAGAAAAGAAAAGAATACGGACACCTAAATCAGCAACAATAGTTCAGTAAAGCATATAACAGTGCTTCTTCTAGTTGGAGGGGTGGGTGGCTTTAAAAAGTCCCCCTTTTCTTGTTCTGTGATTTTGAGCCTCTCTCTTAGGTAGACATGCTCTTTTTTTTCCCTGTCCAATCATCAAATCCTATTCACTTTTCACCCTAAGAATTGGTAGCTTATAGGATATGCTGAGATCTAATTTCTTGAATATTGTATAATTCTACTTCCAAAGCCTAAAATGGCTTCAGCACTTCATGGCAGTATATTAGATCTTTATTATATTAAATCCTCATTATATCTTGGCTTTCTACCTTAGTGGTTCGACCACAATAGTTCTGTGATAGATATGTGCATGGTGCAGGTGACAACAAATATCATTTTTCCAATAAGGCAATGTTACTGCAAAGGATAGTAGTAATGGATCTTCTGATTCTCTAGTGAGTCATGACATAATAACAATAATTAATATCATTTATATAGTGCTTCACAGTTTACAAAATATTCATTGCCAGTATTGCACTTAGATTCTCACAGCAGCGTAGCAAAATAGTTCTTATTAGTGGTTGAACTGAGGCTCAAAATGGTTAATCATTTCAGTTCTTGCTTTCTGTTATGTCATACTAACAAATAAGAAATGATAACAATAATAAGAAAATGTCTTATTTAGACTGTTTATTTATGTGCACCTTTTCTCTGAATGTTTTGATTCTTTCTAATATTGGAGGTGGGGAATGGTATTGATTTATTTCTCTGTGCTCCTGCTGGCCTCTCATCAGATTTAATTTTCCCTTATCATAGTAAATTTTACTGAACCATTCCATTATACTCTGTTCCACTATTGACAATGGCAAAGAATAGTTTGGTACTGTGAAATAGAATTTTTCATAATGTAAAACTAAAGCAACATGTTTTTATCAAACTGAGTAAAACTGACTTAGCTATTGATGATATTTTGATTTTTTAATGCATCACTGTTATCAGACTTAAAGCATTTAGTTCTCCCTTTTCAGATGAAATATTTGAACTCTTTGTTTTGTAATTCTAAACCTCACATGATTTCAGAGTATTTAAAAAATATGATTATATGTTAATGCTTTGTGTCTTGGGTGGAAAAAACCTTACAGAATTGTTCTTCCTGTAAATATATATTTATTTTCCATTTTCATTTTTATTGAAGGATTAATAAAATTTCATAATTAATAAAAACTTGTGTCTATGTTGTGAATATTTTAGTTGCCATATTTAATCATGATTTCTAAAAATATTAATAACTTAATTGTAATAAGAAAAGCTCCCAAATTTATTCTTACATTTTAATGAATTATTTGTGTTCTATATGTAAACTGTCACAGCATGAAATCAATTTTCTGCCTTGATTCATCCCAAATCAGAGATTTCTATCACATTAATATTATAATTAGAAACATTAATAGAGACGGCAACTTTAAAAGCATACTTTGCTTCTTGGCAATTTAGCATATTTCTCTGAGTGCCCAAGACTTCAAGAACCTTCAATGCACTAATAAATTTATTAACTCAAACTTAAAAGAAGCGAAAAGTCTCTCTTTCTTTCTCTCTCCCCATGGCCAGTCTGCTAAAATAGATTATTCATGCTTATTTGATTCAGGTAGGCTTTTGCAAGCTTCCCTACTAGGCCTGGGAATGTGGTACATTGAGGCCTTTTCAGAGGCTTCTGACATAGACCAAGCTTTTATTGCATGGTGTTTTATTATTACCAAATCCTAGTCTCCACCCAGTTTGTAGGCACTCTGCTTATTCTTTTGAATCAGGAAAGGTTATCACCTACCTTAATCCATGGAGCAGCGTGGATTAAGGACACCAGTGTGCCCCAGGATTCTCAAAGAGGATCCTGGAAACTTCTTGTTTCTTCTTTTTTGCTGTCTTTACTAAATTCTATTGGGCCTTAGGAGGATTTGCATCTGAAATGGGCAACCTGGTGTTTTTCTCAATGAAGACATCAGATCAAAGTTCAGTTAGTCAAGGCCTTTCTAAAACATTAAGGGGGTCTGGACTTACACAATAAAAAGATGAGCTCTAGCAGAGATTGCAGTAAAAACATTCTGAACTATAATCCGGATAAAGAATAGATTATAGGCCAAAGAACAGACCTTGTTTAAATTGCTTTATACTAATAACTTTACATTTAAAAACTTTACCCTATTTTTAATAAGTGTACTTTAATGTCTCATACTTTATTTGTTAATACATTCTTGGTAAACAGATAGATCATGTTTTGGGAACCACATATGTGTATATATTGTATTGTAAACATTAGATTGAGCCAATTGATAGGTCTCTTTTATTAATGAAGGTAAACAGTATCTTATGGAGAGATAAACAGTCATATTATTTACAAAGTAAATGCCAAACCCACAGACTCTGAATCAGAGAACAATGTTTCTATTAGACTTAAATTTGTTTATCCTGTGTCACTGTAGAATTGATGTTGGTAGGTATTCAGTTGAAGAATATTAATCCTTTAAGTCTTAAAATGCAAATATCTAGTGTCAAGCAAATGTCTGTTTCTTATCTAAATTACAAAGTTGTCAGTTACTTCATAAAATGAGAATTCTCTTCAATTTTTGCAGAGATTATCTGCAGATTATCTGTTTTGTTGAATATTCTGAAATATGTGCATTTAGGACAGTGGAAACTATGTTAATTTAGATTGGAAACTATTAGAAACTATTGCCAGGTGGAATCTGTTAGTAGTTCAACTTTGGACAGAAGTGTGTATATATTTCTTATATATTTGTAATGTGTTGAATCAGCACAGAATCCATTCAAAGCAATATGATGAGAATGTTCTATTACTTCGCCTTTATCATCTATGTAAATAAATTCAGCATCAACATTTATTAGAGTTTCTTGTGAGGAAGGTTATTTGTTGAAAAAATTGAAAATAGCACAAAGAAGGAAGTATCAATAAACTAATGATTATGTCAGGTTTCTAATGTAGTTTGTATACATTCTCCCTCCTTATCATGTGCCTTGTTCCCATCTGGAGTACCCCCAATACATTTTATACTCTAAGCTTAATTTAAAACTAGTAAGAAAATTTAAATATATATATATATATACACACACACACTATGTTGTGAGAATTTAGCCTTTAAATGATGCTCAGCTCAATATTTTTAAAAAGCTAGTTTCTTTTGAGCCCTTCACCAATGATTCAGTTGGCTTAAGTTTTCATTAGTTCTTAGCAACTGCATATTTAATTGATTATTTAAATGTGGAATCTTTAAAAAATAATTAAAACATGTATATTAAATTTTTTTCAACTCAGGAAGGTAAGAAAAGCAAAGAGATTTCTTATCAAATTTAGGGAACCACCAGGAGTGAAGAAACATGGGAGATGAAAAGGTTGATTTCTAACTAGTATTTGTAATAATGAAGGTTGTTGTATGCTTCTTTGAAATTTAAGAAGTCTGTGTATATCAGCACTTCCTTGTCAGCGTTAAAATGCATAAATGTATCAATATTTTGCTGAATGTAGTTTGAATACATTGTAGTTTAAAAGAACAGTAAGTTCTTAATGACCAGTATGGCTTTTCTTAGCAGGCTGGACCAGTATCATCTTCAAGATTTGGTCACTATTATGATGTATCAAAAAAGATGCCACAGAAACTAATTGAGGCTTCAAAAGTGCATGGATTTTTTTTCCCAGAAAAATCATCTTCAACTCCTAATATAGAACCATGGTAAGTTAATGACCCAATTCTGATTTCACAGGTTAATAGAATGCATTTTTACCACAGTATTTGAAATAATGCATAGCTAAAGGTAAATATCCTAATAATAAATGTCTTCTATAAAATACATAACCTTAATTGTGCATATGTTTCATATTATTTCTTTATATTTAGTTTTCTTTTTCTGGTCCTATAACTGTTGGATATGCTCTTCTTCTTAATTTGCAGTTTGAGAAGTCTGGATACCAAAATTATAATACCTACTGTTTTTAATTTCAAAAAAATGTGGAATAGTTTTTAAATCAGTCTTTTAGTTCTAAATACAAATAGATATCTAAAAACAACTTATTAATAATAATAGCAGTGGGCGCCTGGGTGGCTTAGTCGGTTAAGCGTCCGACTTTCACTTAGGTCATGTACTCACGGTTCGTGGGTTCGAGCCCCGCGTCGGGCTCTGTGCTGACTGCCGGCTCAGAGCCTGGAGCCTGTTTCAGTCTGTGATTCCCTCTCTCTCTGACTCTCCCCTGCTCACGCGCTCTCTCTCTCTCTCTCTCTCTCCTAGAAATAAATAAAACATTTAAAAAATAATAATAATAATAATAATAGCAGTGAAAATGGTATAAAGTAATGCTGTTTTTCAATAAATGTTCTTTCAGAAAGTAAATATATGTTTTCTGATATTTATTAAGGCTTTCTGTTTATAGTTATTCTGTAAATACAACAATCTGTATTTTTTAGATTGCCTTCAGAGAATTTAGGGTTTTTTGAGTTTTACAATGAAGAATTTTAAATATTAAACTAATAGAACATGTTTATAGTGCTACTAACTTTATTTCGACAAAAGTCTGAAAATTACAGTACTTGACATTGAATAATTTATATGATGTGTTAAGAATATTTAATTTCAGTTCTTAACTGCAGTTGAATCATGGAAACTAATCCATGGATTAGGTTGTTGCCTTTATTTTCCTTCATATTGTAAAACCATTATTTTCAAAGTGAGATGAGTTATCAAGTGGAGACTTAATAGATAGGAAGTTGTAAACTGAAATGACACAAGTCTAAAGTCTCTTTTCCAGGGATATTACTTGAGAATTTAGTAAAGACTATCTTATTTATTTTTATTAAATCTGTGTCCAAATAAAAAAATCCTCACTTCATTATGGTTTCTCCATTTTGTGGCTTGAGACTTAACAAAAGTGGTGCTCTGATGTTGTCTTAATATTAATAACAATGATTAATGAATGACTGCTATGTGTCAGTCACTCTACTATACATTCCATTTGTTGTCTAGTGCAGTCTTTGTAAACAACATACTGTATTCCCATTTTCCAGAAGAAGATACCAAAATTCACAGAAGTTAATTTACTTGAAGCTCAACTATTAAGTGATAGAACCAGGATTAACCTAACTCAGATCCCTCTCTTTCTTTTTGCTTTACTGCTTCAAGAGACTTTGGTGTCCTATGCCTTTACCAAGAAATCTGGGTTCTGATGCTGAGTCCATCCTTGGGAAAATACCATTTGTCCTACCTACATCACTAATATTTTGTTAAATTTGAATGACTATTTGATTATACTTATTCTTAATTTTTGTCATTCACTAAACCAGACATACCTATGCTTTTATGGCTTGGGAAATAACTTTTCCCTGATTCCTCAAGAAGTAAGTGGTGGAACCCAGATTTAAAGTTGGTTCTTTCTGACTCAAAATTCTGTGTTAGCCATAATGCTGTATTGCCTCCATTAATAGAGTGCCAAGGGAAACAAAAAATGTAAAATGTCCATTAAGTATGATGTAAGTGAATAAAAAATATAGTGTTACTTTTGTAACTAATAAAACGTTTTAAGAATAAAACATGTTTTATGCTCCAAAGTACAAGATTTTTGTTCATCCATTCAGTAACTAAAAGAAAGAGGGAATTAACATTTAATGAAAACCTGTTCCATGTCAGGCACTGTTCCAGGCATTAGACCATGGGATAACTCATTTAATCCTCCCACAACCCTCCATAAGAAGTACTATTATCCCCACTTTATAGGAAACTTGAGGTCAGAGATGCTAAGTAGCTTTCCCACTATTTCAGGCTGTTAGTAAATAAGTCTTCAAAACCTCTGGTTTTTTTGTTTGTTTGTTTTTTGTTTTTCTCTGCCAGACTGCCTCCATTTGCTGCTGCAGTAAATGTACAGCATGTGAAGCTGAGTGCCCAGAAAAATAACTATACCTTGATCACCTGTGAGGATATAGTCTTCTAGTCTTTAAAATACATATTTTTTCAGAATGCTTTTTTGAAAGCTAGCAGTTTTGCATAGAATAGGAAAATTTATAGATTTCAATTATCAAGGCAATATTTCATTTCATAGTAGTTAACTGATAATTCATTTATTTCATATTAAACTTAAATGCTTAATTAAATGTAATTAAACTTTAAACATGTAATTAAATTAATTTTGAAAATGAGTACTTACCATGTGAGATTTAATTTATGAAAAGCATGTGCTCATTTCACTAAAATGAACTTTACTGGTTCATTTATAGAACAATAAACCTAAGCTTTACAGTTGTCTATACTTTTCCTGCAATTAAGACTAGAGGAGTTAGCTGTGTCCCACTATCATATGTAAGTCTATAATATATAATTTCATATATTCTGAAGGCACTGTTAAAATATAAAGTTTTTTATGGTAAGAAAAACTGAAGGTCATTTAAAATTTACACTAAACTGATTTAAAGTCATTGACAGGTTTGCCTATGGAAAATGTTCGTGCATGTAATTTAAGCTTTCAAAGCAAAGCTTGGATATAAAAACCTAAGAAGTATCACACTAATATTACCATAGTTTTGTTTTAATATTTCATTGTCATAAATCAAATAAGTCGACACAAAACAGTGATAGGAAAACTGATTTTGAGAATAAATTTGTAATCTAAGATTTTTTTTTTAATTTGACATTGTTTTGAGTTAATCTTTGCTACAGGTATGCAGACAGTTCTGTTTTCTCACTAGAAAGATAATGCCATTCTTCATAGTAGGAATGGTGTTTCAACTTTCTTATTTATTAACAAATCTACTAACATACTGCTTAACCTACTGTTACAAAATGAATTTTTGTGGTTCCACCCCCAAGACCCTGAATTTATATGTTAAAGTACAACATGATGGTATTTGGAGATAAATATTTGGGAGGTAATTATGGTTGGATGAGGTCATGATGGTAGGACCTTAGTCTGGTAGGATTAGTGTTCTTAGAAAAGAGGAAAGACATCCAGCTCCTGCTCTTTTCCTTGAGTGGAAATCCAAGAAGGGCCATGAGCAACACAGCAAGAAGGTGGTCATCTGAACCCAATGGGAGAGCTCTAACCGGATGCAACCCTGCTAGCACCTTGATCCTGGGCTTCTAGTCCCCAGAATTTCTATGGAATTAATTCCTTTTAGTTAAGCCACTCAGTCTATAGTATTTTGTTATGGGAACCAAAGCCAATTGATATACTCACTATGTTGTAAAATTTTAATTTTTTTAATTGATAGACCAGATCTTGAATACTGAGTTTACATACAGTTGGTAGTAAACAGAATGAATTTGTCTTGATATGTTTCTTTGAAATTCAAGATTTTATTTTTACATGAATATCCTAAAAATGGCCAGTAGTTTTTTACATTAACTAAAAGTTTTGTATTAATTAAGTTGAGTTAACTGAATTCTGAAAGAACCATTTATCTTTTTAGGAGAACTTTTAGGAGAAAATCAATGAAAAGAGGATAAGAATATTACTTAAGGTTTATAAGTCCTTCCTTTTTCTTATTTGGCAAAGCCTCTTTACCACTTAAATGGAACATATGTATAAGCCTTCTGTAATATTTTCCTAGACAAATTATAGTTATGTACCCCCGAAAAACTCCTACTTAATTTTGTTCATACCCTGTCAGAACACTTACCACATTACACTAAAGTTATTTGTAGTGTCTACATTTTTATCTTCCCTCTCAAGCAGTGGAAATCCTTGAGGAAGGGGGCTATGCTGTCTACACCTCTTTATTTCATGAATCTAGGACACAGGTGTTGAGTTGATAGTTGATGAACTAGTGAATCAATGCACAAAGTATAGTAATAACTCAGATTAATACAGCTTGTTCTTACCTCAAAGATTTAGTGGGATAAAACTAACTGAAATATAACCATGTAAGAGTACATTTTATTTCACAAATAGAGATCTCTTTCATTACAAAGCAGAGAACCACATATATCTAGACGTTATAAGTAGAAAATTCACTCATGATAAAGGAATTTTGATAGAGAACTTGTAGGTAAGACTAAAGATTCAGAAGTATGCTGAATTACTCTATTAAAAGGATATAGTAAATGGTACATTAATACAAATCTCGGAGCTGAGGGAAAGGCGAGATGTAAATGTGATTAGGGATTTTACCCCTTGGTCATTCTGCTGGTGACATGATTAAAGTAAAAAGATAATATCTAAAAATTTTGAGAGAGAACTATTAATCCTGAAACTCATTTTGATCAATGAAGAGAAATTACTTGCATACATGTGTGCCTTTCTTCATTTTTCTGTCCTTCATGTATGCAGAATTTAGTTGCTCATCCTGGGCATGCTATCTTCATTGATATGCATGGTTTTTGTTTATTATTTCTCACCTAATACCCACATTTCTAGTCCCAGTCATCTTCCCCTAGGCATACTTTCACTTATTTATGTATGTCCTTCCAAATTTTCTTTTCTGTTCAATAAAGTAATCTTAGACCCTTGACTTCTCTCTTTCACTCCCTGCATCCAATCAGCAACTCCTGAAATTTTATTTTTTAAGTTTTTATTTAAATTCCAGTTAGTTAACATACAATGTAATATTAGTTTCAGGTGTACAATATAATGATTCAGTACTTCCATACAACACCCAATGCCCATCACAAGGGCACTCCTTAATGTCCATCTCCTATTTAACTTATACCCCACCCACCACCCCTCTGGGAACCATCAGTTTGTCCTTTATAG